ACACACACACAACCAGTCAGAGATTGCTATCACATGGCATGACACAATGACTTGTTGGCAAATACTCCCCCAAACACTTCCAGCTGGTCAAGATGGGCAAGGCGGAGCCCCTCAGTGCGCGCCGCCTGGAGCGATGTGTTCAGTGGGTGCTGGCAAACCCTGTGGTGCCCGGCTATGGCGGAGCGCCATTTGGTGTGCTCGCCGCCCTCGGCGGCGAGCCTGCCCTGCAAGAAGCCGCCCAGCGCGCTGCGAAGCTGCGCGTCCCACAGGACCTCGCTGCCCTTGAACCCAGGGCGCTCGCGCGCCTGGAGGCGCGCTACGCGCTGTCTGGCTGCTCGACGGCGGCGCCACCCGTGGACGGGCCGCAGGGCGGTGGCGCGGCTGGTGGCGGCGGCTGTGCGGCGGGACGGTGGCTGGTGGAGGGGCACGACCAGGTGGCCGACCTGCTGGGGCTGCTGGCGCTGGAGGTCGACCAGGCGGCGGCGCGGCACAAGGAGCCAGGGGACAAGGTGCGCTCGTGATGGCCGCATTTCCATGCATGACTCAGGTTGCCTGCAGAGGCGACAAGCACGGTTGTTGCACGGTCAGCTGATGCCCTCTCGCCAGGCACAGCACTGATATGCGTTTTGTGCAGCATGGCTGATTCTTGATCAGGCTGCTGACTCACCGCTGCGTGTGTGCTCACTTCAGGTTTGCGCAGCTGTGTCCGCTGCCGCCGGCCAGGCCTTGAACTACTGTGCGGCCGCCCGTGCGGCAATCACTGAGCTGCACGCCTGGCGGGCTGCACGCAGTGAGCTTGGAGACTTGGGCATCAGGTGGGCGACGCATGTTGCGTTGTAGCGCGAGGGCACTTCCTGCCAACATGAGCCGCTGAGGCAGCACTCTACCTGTGCAAAGCGATTATTTGTCCTGTTTCACCCTGTGACCTTCTTCTTTCTCGTGTAACTTGCCCACCTTGTCCTGCCTTGCAATGACGCAGCCCCTCTACCGAGGACGTCGCCCCGCTGCTGGAGGCGATCACCTGCCTCAAGGGCACGCAGGCACTGCTGTATGATGTCCAGCCCTGGATGGAGCCCCTCATCACGCGCCACACCCACCGCCAGCTGGACGCCTTTGTCAACGAATCCCTGCCGGCAATTTCAAAGGGCGCGGCATCCAACCGGCGCGTGCAGCACCTGGCTGCGGCTCTGCAGTCCGTCTTGATGGGCCAGCCGGGCGCTGTGGAGTCGCTGCCGGCAGACGTTTGGGCCGACGCGGCGCGCAGCAAGGGGCTTGGGGTGCCAGCCAGCGAGGCGGGCGATGGCGGCGCTGACGTGCAGGAGTTTGACCAGCAGCAGCCCCACCTGGGACTGCGCAGCACAACGCCGCAGCGAGCAGCGATGCCCCCCAGCATCCCCGAGGCGGGCCCTGTGGCCGAGGCTCACGAGAGTGATCCTGCCCTGCCTGTTGCACCGCCACTCAGCCAGCAGCCGTCAGAGCGCGCCGCAAGTGACGCAGTACCCACCTCTGCTGAGCAGCAGGAGCAGCAGGTTCAGCAGCCACAACAGCCACCAGAGCAGCAGCAGGAACAGGAGCAGCAGCAGCAGCAGCAGCAGCAGCAGCAGCAGCAGCAGCAGCAGCAGCAGCAGCAGCAGCAGCGTCAACACCCACATCAGACGTGGGAGTTCGTTGCCAAGGGGCGGGGCAGTGCCGGGTTGTCAGCTTCAGCTGACTCGCCGCCCGCAGATATGGACTCCCAGCCATTGACGGGATTGTCAGAGCAGCAGCCAGGCACGGCCGCAATTGAGGCTCAATCCGGGCGCGAAACAACCACCCAGCGCACAAGCTGGATGGCGCGGCTTGCTGTCCGCCACCGCGATCCCGCCGCTACGCCAACCCAGCACATGCCGTCAGACGGCGGCGGCGCCCCTTGGTCGCCACCCACCACCAGCACATCACTGGACAGCGCCGCGCCGCTGGCGGCGGCCGTGCACCGCGTCCTCAGGGAGCCCTCCCTCGCGCGTGTGCTGCGGGAGCACGCCGAGCAGCCGCCGTCGCCGACTGTGGCGGAGCTGGTGACGCATTTTGAGAAGATCGTCGTGCCGGGGGCCGAGGGTGGGGACGGCAGCGAGTGCGCCATCAGCCCCGTAGAGCAGGACCCCCCCGATGCCGGCGGGCCCCTGGAGCCAGCGCTAGAGCAGCGCGTGAGCGGTGAGGAGGGACAGGCAGTTGCTGCCTCGGAAGCATCGTCAGCGGCGTTGGGGGATGTAGCCAGGGAATTGCTGCGGCCGCAGCAGGCCGCCGCTGGACAGGCAGGCGTGGCATCATCTAGCGCGCCAGAGGATGTGCACTGGGGGTTGGATGCCCGCAGCAGCATAGCAGCGAGTGCCGCTGCATCTTCGTCGGGTTTGCACGACCAAGATGGCAGGGATGATGCAGCGGTGCAGTGGCAGGGAGGCCTGCAGGAGCAGGAGCAAGCGCACAGCGAGCCCGAGGTGGGGAGGCCAGCGGCATCAGTGCGCAGCGCACTGAGTGGCAGCTGGGAAGGCAACCAGGCGGACAGCGGCACCCTGGGTGACGCTCTGGCGCTGCGGACACCTGCAGAGGCCACGGCAGCGGCAAGCGACCCACCGCAGGGGGCAGCTGCAGGGATGCTTCGAGGCCAGAGTCCTGCCATTTCGCCCTTTGCCCTTGTGTCTGCGGTGGAGCGAGCGCCGCGGATGTCTGCCGCTGGCACAGTGGCAGCCAGTGACAGCAGTGACGAGGAGCGCGGCGAGCAGTTGGAGCCGCCGCTATTGGCGCTGCAGGGGCCAGAGCTGCTGTCAGTACCTTCAGCAGACAGGTCCAGCGAGTCAGCGTCAGCAGTGGCGATAGACGAGGCGGCTGAGGCCCCGCCGGCGGGCTCTGCCCCCGAGGTTGCCGTGTTGAACGCGGCTCCGGCCGCCCTCGCTGCAGCGAGTGGTGCATGGGCGTCTGGGCAAGAGGAAGAGAGCGAGCCGCCGCGGTCTGCGCTGGAGCACACCTCTCATATGGTGTTGGATCAGCAGCCAGGGCCAGTGCTCCAGGCAGGCGAGCAGCAGGGTGCTGAGCCGCACGAATCAGAGGGACCTCAGCAGCATGATACGGAGGTGGCGCCCCAGCAGGCATCTTCCTTGCAGCAGGCGTTGCAGGCAGTGGCTGTGCACAACTACTACTCCAGCGGAGACTCGTCAGATGCAGCAGAGTATTCGGAGGAGTTGCTGGGGCAGCGGCAGTGGCAGGGCGACGAGGAGTCAGGAGAGGAGGAGCACGTGCACAATGAGGCGATGCAGCAACTCCAGCAGCAGGATGCGCAGGAGGAGGGCGAGGATGCTGTGACGGACGACTACGAGCACTGGCGCCAGCACCAGGACGAGTCTGAGGGGAGTGCAGCGCTTGGCTGTGCGGCGCTGTGCTCTGAGGCCTTGGCAGCATCGGCCGACCAGCCAGCTGTTGGGCTCCAGGGCCCCGCAGCAGCTTCAGATGTTGACGTTGAGCTGCTGCAGCCCATGCAGCTGCCATGGGTTGTGCCCGAGCAAGCGGCGCAGCAGCGCAACTCAGAGGCCGCGCTGCTGGAGCCCATGCAGCTGCCATGGCTGGCAGAGCAGACGCAGCCCCAGCACCATGTGGAGTCACCAAAGCAGCCGCTGGAGGCGCCGCCCTCCGAGGCCACCGCTGCTGCTCCGGCGCAGCCGGGCAGCTCAGGGAGCCTGCTCAGGCGGCTTACGATGAGGCTGAAGAAGCCAGCAGCCGCGCAGCAACAGCAGCCGCCAGAGTCGGCCATGCAGGTCATAGGCGGTGAGTGCGCCGCGTCGCCAGCGTTGGCAGCATCGCCAGTGAGTGCGGCTTCGCCCGCCGTCTGCGCTACTTTTGGCGTGGCAGCGGGTGGCGCGCTGAAGGCCGCAACATCTGAAGGCATGGCAGCTGACCTTGGGGTCACTGACACAGCGGCTAACGTGCCGGCCGCCACCAGGGTTGCGGCCGCATCAGAGCCTGAGATCGTGCCGGCGGACGACCCAGCGGCGGCGGTGGTTGGGACAGAAGCAGCTGTTGACAGGGCGGCAGATGCGGCGGCGGTGGCGTTGGAGTCTGCAGCAGCACCGGCAGCAGCGCTGGCTGCAGGGGCTGCAGCTGGGGCGGCGGCTACAATCCCGGCGGCGTCCCCGCCCGTCAGCCCTGTGCGCGCCAAGCTGTTGAAGCAAGGCGGGGCATTTGCGCGGTTCTTCCACTTCAGCAAGGGAGGCCGCAAGGGCGCTGAGGCGAACGTGGTGCAGTGCGAGGCTGAGCAGCACTACAGCGACGACGCGGCCCAGGCTGCGCCCACCCAGGAACCTCTGCTGCAGCCGGTGCAGGGCCTGCAGCGGCCAGCATCTAGCCTCGTCGATGTGCCGCCCGGCGGGGCTGTGTTCAGCATGGGCGCCTGCGCAGCCGTCTGCGCCGCCTCCGAGGGCTCGCCGGACTCCGGTGATGAGGCGGCCTCCGAGCAGCAGCAGGAGCAGCAGCAGCAGCAGCAACAGCATGGGGGCGATTGTTCGGAGGAGCCCAGGCTGGAGGAGGGGCAGGAGCTTGCAGCACCGCGCAGCTTGCCACCCCGTCAGGACTCAGCTGTGGCGCCGGTTGAGCACCCTGGAGACCGCTACAGCTGCGCAGGGGGCGTCGCGCCGCTGAATGCCGTTGCGTCCGCCGAGGTAGACACGCCCGCTTCGCCCGGCTTGGCTGCAAATGCCGTTGGGGCACCATCCTCACCGGGCTCCGCCGTGGTTGCTTTGGACACAAGCTTGCCTGCCGGTGGCATCAAAGGGCGCAAGGACGCGCCTAAGGGAGCGTTTGCTGCCGCCGCGGCGGCTGCGGGCGCCGCGGCGCGCTTCAAGCGTCTCGGGGAGACGCTCAAGCTCAAGGCCGGTACCATGGAGCAGCAGCTTGCCCCGGCCCCTCCACTCGCTGCGCCGCGGCCGCTGGGAGCGCTGCCGGCTGGCCCGGCGCTGTCAGCAGCGGCTCTGCTGTTGGAGCAGCTCGTCCTCGAGCTGCAGGCTGACAGGAAGTGGCGCCTGGTGCAGCAGGTGGCGGGCCGCAGCCAGGCAGACGCCGTGGCACCGGGTCTGCGCGACGCGCGCGAGGCGCTGAAGGCCGTCCAGCTGCTGCAGCTTGTCGGCGGCGGCCGGATGGCTGCCGCAGTGGCACGCGCTTGCGATGTCTCGCCGCTGTGGGTGTTCCCCGTTTCGCAGGATCACGGCGAGGCGGCCGCGGCAGCGGCGGCGGCGGCAGCTGCGCCAAGCTTGCCAGAGGCGCTGTGCGCCGCAGGCACTGCGCAGCTGGCAGCGAGCCGGCTGCCATGCGAAACGCCGCTGGCGGCGCTGCACGTCCTGAGGGACGCCTCAAACGGCGTTGCGGCGCGCAACCGGACGCTGCTGGCGCTGGTGGGGCACCAGGCCCAGCGGATGGTACGCGGCTACCTGGACGCCACCGGCGAGCTGTGCTACAGCCACCACAAGAAGCTAGCTGCCAGGCAGCTGCTGAGCAGCGAGCTGCTGCGTGTTGCGCGGCAGGAAGGGCCGCTGGTGCGCGTCGAGCCGCTGGCGTTTGACTCGCTGCTGCGCGGCCTTGCACTCGGCATGCCCGGCACCCCGCCGGGCACGAGCGGCTGCAGCGACACCGGCGGGCTCACCGCCCGCAGTTGCGGCGGCCAGAGCACCCTGTGCGGCGGCCAAACCGCTCGGTCGCATCGGCAGCGGCGGCAGCGCTGGAGCGTGGATGTGACGGCGGCGCTGACCACAGGCTTTGCTGACTTGCTGGCCGCAGATGCGGCGCGGCTGGTCGCATCTTTTTGGTGGGCTGGGCCCGCAGGGCGTGGAGTCATGGTCTTGGCTCGAGCACGCCGCACTGTGATGGGCCCAAAAGCGGCTTGGGGTCCCGAAATGTCGGCCATCTGCTCTGCCATTGCTCTACGCCAACGCTCGCACGCCTGTCTCGCGGCATATCGCTCGCCCACCCACAAACATCACCCATCGCTTCAAACGCGCTTTTGCAGCGCCGATGGACCCACGGCGCTGGTGGAGCTGTCGCTGCAGCAGCGTGTGCTTCGCCGCACTCACGAGCTGCTCTTGGAGTACGTCACCCTGCCGCCCTGGCAGGAGATCTGGGCGCGCGCCAATTGTCCCCCCGCCGGCGCCGTTGCCGCCGAGGGCCGGCCGTGCGGCAGCGCTGTTGGCGACGCCGCGCTCTCGGGCGTGTCTGCGATGCTCGCAGAAGCGGTGTTCGACAGCCAGGCGCAGGTGCTGCTCGCGCCCTGGGCGGCAGCGGCCCCAGGCGGTGACGCGGCAGCGGGTGGCGCCGTTTGCGACGTGGTCGAGGACCGGGTGCGGGGCCTGTTGGCGCCGTACCGCGGCTTCTTTGGGCGCCAGCACCTGGCGGCGCTGCTGGAGGTGGAGGGCGACTGGGCGATGCAGGCCCTGCTTGAGGCGGCCCTTGAGCGGTTTGAGGATGTGCAGGTGGGCAACCTTAAACGCTAAAGTACCATACCCCTGGGGAAGGGGTATGGTAAGGCGCGGTGGTTTTAGTGCTGTACGGTGATCGTCCTTGCCATGCCGCCGTTACGTGTCGAGCGAGTGGGCCCAGCAGCAGCAGTCGTGCCAGTCTCCTCGGCAAGGCCTCAGCAGCTTCACAAGATGCGGGTGTGCGACGGGCCAGAGGCGGTGGCAGCGTGGCAGGTCCCTGGCTGCATGCACACATTCTTGGCTTGCGCTTCCTTGTCGTCAGAGCCTTGGCACTAGCAGCAACACACAGCACACCTCCCTCGGCGCTCCCATCCCACACCAACCCCACATAATTACAGGCGCCCCTGGCAGCAGCGCTGTGCGCTCTGCAGGCAGAGTTGCCGCCAGCGCTGCTGTCTCGTCCCAGCCCCGACATCTGCAACACCGCTGGCGCCCTGTACCGCGCTTACGCTCAAGCTCTGGGCCTTGACGGCGGCGCGGGGCCGGGCAGAGACGACGGTTCTGCGACATCCGCGCTATGCCTACTGCAGTGCGCCGGCAACTGCCTGGCGCTCCTGCACATGGCCAATGTGGCCGTGGGCAGCGTGCTGCCATCGCGGTTTGCGCAGGCGGCGCCGATCCTGGGGATCACAGCCGTCCCTACAGCTGGCGCTAGCAGCACCAGCATGGAGCACGATGGCGGCCCCTCGCCGGGCTTGCGCGCGCCGCCGTTTGAGGACGGCGCCCCGGGCCACTTCCAGTGCATGCTGCTGGGCCCCAGCGCGCGGCTGGTGACGGAGTCGCAGCTGCTTGTGGTGCAGTCGTGCGAGCTGCAGGCGTGGCGCGCGACGCGTGGAGTGGATTGCATGCCGCGCTGCTTGGGGCGCGTTGGCGCCTGCCTCAGGGACTTACAAGAGGTGCTTGAGGCGGCCGCCGTGCTCGCCGCGGTGGCCGCCCAGGACCAGGCCTCCCCATCGCCGAGGCGTGGCGCGGCGCGGCGGCCAGACAGCACTGCGGTGGATGCGGCAGGGTCGCCGCAGGGCGGCGCGGTTGAGGACCAGCAGCCTCCTTTGGCAGCAGCTTCTGAGCAGGGCGGAGCGGCTGGGGAAGGGGATCAGGGGCATCGCCACGAGGTGGGCCGAGGGCCACCAGCTGCTGATGCAGGCCAGGAGGAGGAAGAGGAGGAGGGGGTGGACAAGCAGGAACACGAGCGGCGGCAGGAGCAGGAAGGCGTCAGCAACGGCGGTGCACCCTGTCATGAGCGGCGGACAGCGGGCGGCGATTCTGTGGCCACGTGGGACCTGTCCCTGCCCGGCAGCTTTGGCGGCGCAATGCCTGGGCAGCAGCCCTCGCGCACCACGGGCGGGCTGTCCGGCGGCGGCGATGAGCTGACACCGCCAACATCTGGGCGGCCCCGGGACACGACGGCGGGCGGCGGTGCAGAGGGCGAGGAAGATACGAATTGGTACGTGAACACGCGCGCAGTGCACAGCCGCCATGACAGCGGCAGCCTGGACTCGGATGGCAGCTACCGCCCCGGCGAGGTCGGCCTGACGGCGCGGCAGTACACGGAGCGCGCCGCCGCTGAGGCGATGACGGGGCGAGAAAACCAGTGTGCAGATGCTGGGGTCGGAGGAGGCGGCGAGGACGCGGGCGCCGAGGACGAGGGCGATGGCCCCAGAGCCTCCCACAGGGGCCCGGCCGGCCTGCGGCGCTGGCTAGAGCAGCAGCGTCTGCAGGAGGGCGAGGAGGAGGGTGCGGAGGAGGAGGCGCCTCAGCGCCAGCGGCATGAGGAGGGTCCTGTCGCACGCGGTCCCTCGCCCAGCAAGCTGGCATACGTTGCACTGACCCAGCGCCAGCGCCAGCAAGAGCAGCAGCAGCAGCAGAGGGAGGGTCGGTGTGAGCCGCCGCTGCCGTCTGAGACCGGTGGGTTGGGTGGCGCTGGACCTCACGCTGCAGCCAGCGTTGTGCAGCTCTGTGTGCCTGTGCTGTCGGTCCCCACAGCGCTGCAACTTTGCAACCCTCCTCACCCCAACGGATTACCCAGATCTGGCATCATCCGACCTGTCTGGCGTCCTGTGCTACCGTCCAACCCCAGCATCCCCCTCCCCCTCTTCCCCGCAACAAAAGCAGGCGCGGCGGGTCCCCCGGGCGAGACAGTGGGCCCCCCGGCACCCCCCC